GGCTAATGAAGGAATCCTTGGCTTATAAGGCCCTGACACACCAAGCCAATGGTTGGTCATCGGTCAAAGTTGGGCCATTGGTGAGCATCTGCTGCTCTCGTCAGTGTGGTGTGTCCTGCACCGTTACCCCTCATTGGCCGTCAGCTTTTTTTTTTTTTTTGGCTGATTCAACATGTTCAACATTCAACAAGTTGAAACAGTATCAGTGACAGCGGAGCCTGTCAGCAAATGAAAGAACTCTGACTGTCAGTTCAGCTCAGCGCAGGAGAAGAGAAATGAAAGTGAGGAAAGTAAACAAAGTCAAGAGGCAGTGAGATCAAAACAAACTTGTTACATATGGTAAAATTGTTTGTCTTTAGCCACTGAGCTCTTTCACAGAAAGGTTTCATGATGGTTTGTGTTATTGTTCACCGGCACACTGTAAATATGCTCTGTTCTTTCAACATTGGACTGAGTTGTTAATATGCTAATGCTAACTAGCGTCAAGATGGATTTCCAGCCCGGTCTCACTCCTAAGTCGTCAAAATCTGGCGCTTGGGCAGTGACTTGTGGCATCAGAAACCAAGGAAAAAAGGCATCCTTTAACGTCGGCATGATACACTGCCAGTTGCCGTTATAGTTTAACGGCGCCCGGCAGTGTCACGGGGAAACGTGGCGTGACAAGAATGAAAGCTAAGGCAGTGAAAGTCCGAGTAGGGCTTGTGGCAGGGGTGGTGGATGGGTCCAACAAACACCGGCTTTCACCCGAGACAGCGGTGTAAGATTCTAAAGCTTTTTTTTTTACTAAACCTAAAAAATATGTGTTTGTTGTTTGTTTGCCTTTAATAATGTCAGTATTCCTATAAACAAGACCATGGGACTTATGTGAGCACAGAAACGTTTCATGGGAGGTTTTTCTGACTATGCCACCATTACATTTCCCAGCTAAGGTGGCCCGAAGGTTATAAGACTTGCAACCCCCTCCTGCAACCATCAATCCACAAGTCTGACCATTTGAGTGTAGAAATGACAGTCAAAGGTGCAGCTTGTGCTGAAATCCTTACAGCACATGTGTTACATTTACAGAGAGCTCATACAGTAATGACACATGTCCCAGTGTCACCTCACACGTCTCAATGACAGCCTAAATGATGTGAGCTTTAAGAGGCACTGGCCAACAGCTCCATCATTTATCAAAAGTTTTACAAAGTCAACCAAAGCTTGCTCCCCTCTGATGTTAAAGTTCAGTTTGAGGGGAGATCGGTCACTTTAATGTAACCCCCCTGGCGGTGACGATGGGAGAGAGGAGTTGGTAGGGAGTCGATGATGTCGGGGGTGGAAATGGTCAGTGGAAAGGTGAGGAAGATGACAAGGACAGAGGGAAAGTGTTGGCGATAAAGAACAAGGAGAAAAGGGGTGAGACGAGGAGGAGAAGCCAGGAGGGTGAGATAAGAAGAGAGGTTGGGTGGAGAGGGAAAAAGGGCTAATTGAAAAGAGGAGGGGAGGGCTGGTGAATGGAGAAACAGGGCTAATGGCCGAGCCAACAGCTGGCTCACTTGGATTAGTGTGGAGCCATAAATAAATGTGTGACAGCGATAAATATGGTATGACAGGTCATCAGCACAGTTACCCGTGTCCCCCAAGGACACTGCTGGCAAAAGGGGCCATAGGACACGGGGACTGACCAGTGTCTCACACACCGTGACTGATGAGCAGCTGATTGAGGTTCAGCGTACCAAAAACTCCCCGGAGGAGAACAAACACAGAGAAGGTAAGAGTAGACGAAGACGACCTTTAACCTGCGCTATATGAAGCGAACACTGAGGGATCGAAGACAGCAGCGAGGGGATCTATCAATCACCCGAGGTGGAGATATATTGGTTCTTATATAAGGTGACAGTGATCAAGCCTATCAGGGGTTTAAGGAATGATATAAAGTGCAATGCTTCTGAGCTGCCTCATGGGCAAAAAGGGCCATGTCATGTCCAAAGTGCCTTTGACAGAGTTTTAAATTCCTGCTGATGTTGGAAAAATAGTTCAAACTTGTAATACAGATTTATAGACCCTTTTAGGGCTGACATTACAACGACGTCATTTCATTAGCTGGAGGCAAAACACGACTCTCCACCACAGGGCTGTAGGCTACATAGGAGACTTAAAATGTCATCTTGTTGTGTTATTGGGAGCCAGAATAGAAGCAGTTATGGCTCAAAACTTAAATTTTATCACATACCAGCCGCAACTGCCCGTCAACAGGAACAAAGACAACTATGGTTAAATGTGATAAGACGAAAGGACTGGACGGAGGCGATCATCAAAAATGCTCACATGTGCAGCTCACACTTCATATCAGGTTAGGGAAAAAGTATTTCCTGTTTTAGGGATGGATAACGTTATGTGTATTAAGGGTTATCATGTCCACCTCATCAGAAACTGGGGAGGTATTAAGAGGAATGTTGGATTTCTCTGTAACACTAATGCTTAATTAGTTAACATTAGCTCTCATTTTAGCTACACTAAAATGAGAGCCCTGTTGGTCGAAGAAACGGAGCGTTATATTTCTATATGAATTAACAAGCGGTTAAGTTAATCACTTGGCGTTATCCAGAGCACCGCGCTCTCCCACTGTGAGAGTGGGGTGCTCTGGATAACCAAACAGTACACTCCAAAAGTGCTTCAAATTTGCGAATGGTCCAGTTTGTGCTGGAGTGTGCTCCGGCACTCAGAATAAGTATTTCTGAATGCACCACTCACATCATCTTCCTCCATTGTCTAAAACAAACCAACAGAACTTGCTAGCTAGCGCTAACTAATGTCTGTGAAAAATTGTTTTCCCTCCAGCTAAGCCCCGCCCACCAAAACTATTACAGTCTGATCATCCATTTTCATAACTGATCAATTCATTATTTTTAAACTTTTGTTTAAACCTAATTAATGTTCTACATGTTTTCAGTTCCTCACTACGACTGTTCCATAAACTCACTCCTTTAACTGAGGTGAGCAAAACAAAGTTTTCTTCATGAAGTCAATGTAACACAGGGTGAGTCACTGATATACAGACAAACATCGTGGGGGACGTTCTCCTTTAACATGGTGAAGGAGAAGTTGAATGTATCATCCAGCTTGAGATTCATTATCAGCTTTGATTTGGGAAGTATGACTATGCTTGAGTTAACTTAAACCAATGGGATTATACAAATACAATGTGTCACTGATTTAAATGGTCAAAAAGACATTTATGACTGCAGAGAGAAAACAATTTAGAACAACTGGCTCTCTCAGTGATAGTCTGGGGAGGCCTTGTCAGTCTGAGGTACTGTGTCAGCACATAATAATTGTGTTTAGCAGAAAGATAAAACATAAATAAAGTCTTTATTATCTCAGGTCAGACTAATCATTAAAACTAATGGCTCCATTCAGAGTCATACATCACATAATAAAACAAGAGGATTTTAATTGTTTTTCCTGCTGTTGATGAAACTAAAGACTGTTGCAGATTGGTTTGTAATGAGAGCAGCTCTCTGTGATCTCTGCCAGACTCTGTGCTGTCTGATAATGCTGGATATGAGGACAAATGGAGCAGCTCTAGCAGACACATTTGGTGATCTCTGCTCACATAAAGCTGCTGATACATCAGCTGGAGACAGTCTCAGGTGCAGGCTCTCTTGTGCTAATATTAAATAGATACAAATGTTATTGAGGCAGAATTCTGAATAAGAAGTTTAGGAGAGTTTAAAATGCTGACCAGTGTACAAGTATAGAAAGGTGTTCCTTTGTTGGGGCACTAAACTTTCCCCTACTGTATCTCAACAACTGAGTTTTTCTACTCTGTAAAAAGAAGAATATCGTAACACTAACATTGTGCTTATGAGTAGAAGCATGCGCCTACTCATGGATGAGACGCTTGTGACAGCTTGAGATATACACATTAATGTCGTCCTCCTCGAATGAGCTGTAATGTTAGCTAGCTCAGTGGTGCTAGGTGAGATAGCAGTAGATTAATGTCTCCTTCTGTGCAGTGATACAGTTGGCAGGTGCAGTTTGGTAGAAAGAAAATAGTTCCTACATGAAACTGCTCACAACAAGTTCTGTGGATTATCTTGAGTAACCAGGTCATGATTTCTGGAAAGAGACATTGCTGTTGAGTTTTTCAAATTAATTTCTTTATTTTTTGGCGCTTTGAGCACCACAAGCTGAGTGCCATCTCATTATACTAGAGAGAAGGCAGACATCTCTACTGCTGATATCTCTAACACTCTGCAACTCACACCAAAATCTAGACTGATAAATAACACAACAGGTAAGAGGAGAAATATGTTTTGTTTTGGTTTTTTTTTTAATTTTGGAGTGAATTGTCCCTTTAAAGAGCAAATCCTTATCAAAATCTCTGTGTAAACAAATTAAAGTTAGCCAATACTGTCATCAGATCTTTTAAACTCTTAAATATTGATATAGGTATCAGCCTAAAAATGCAGTATTATTATCACCCGTTTTGTCTCTTTCTCAAGTTTAACAAGAGTATTTTAATATAGCCATCGACAAAACAGCTGCAGCTGGAAAAAAACCCAAGTATTTTACAGTATGTGGCGTAGAGGTATAGGTATGACTTCTCTGAAAATTTGCCAAGAGTGTGAGCTGACCTATGTTCAGAGGGGACAAAGCAGGACGCTCACTGTGGAGCTGTGCAAGCAGGAAAAGCTGCTGAGGTGTTCTAACTAAAAAGCCAAGTTCAATGTCATGCTGAATACACCACTCTGGGTAAAATACTGTAGTTTGACATTTTGAGCTCACTATTTTCAATGTTTTTTTTTTTAAATGATACTTTTGTCTTGTCAGTCAGCAGCTGTGTTTTATTGGTGTGAATGCTCTTGGATCAGCATTCCCTGTAATAAAACTGAGCACATGACACATGGTGCCATACAAAGCTCCACCTCTTACATTACATCATCTGAGACAATCCAGGAAACAGGTTTCTATTTAGCTGTCACTGATAAAGAGACACTCCGGTGGACAGAGGGTAAGATTTACCTGCATTACAAAGCTGTGACTTCAACCGAGGGTGGACAGTTACAGGACGGACGAGTGAAGTGGTGAAATATTTCAAATACAACCTGCTGCGGATTGTAAAACGCTCAAAGACTCAAAGTAAAAGTAACTCTCTGCTGTTTTTAGTCTCACTCAGACATAAAATGGCTTCCAGATCAGAGGAGGATCTCTGCTGTCCGATCTGTCACGATGTCTTTAGAGATCCTGTCGTTCTGTCATGTAGCCACAGCTTCTGTAAAGACTGTCTGCAGGACTGGTGGAGAGAGAAACCAATACATGAGTGTCCATATTGTAAGAGAAGATCTTCAAAGGACTGCCCGCCTGTTAGTCTGGTATTAAAGAACCTGTGTGAGGCCTTCTTACAGGAGGGAGACCGGAGAGCCTCAGAGGCTCTCTGCAGTCTGCACGCTGAGAAACTCACACTCTTCTGTCTGGAACATCAACAGCCAGTGTGTGTCATCTGCAGGGTTTCAGAAAAACACACCAACGACAGATTCAAACCCATCGATGAAGCTGCACGAGAACACAAGGGGAAACTTCAGAAAACTCTGGAGCCCTTAAAGGAGAAGTTAAAGACTTTTCAGCAAGTTCAAGTGAAGTTTAATCAAACAGCAGATCACATGAAAATCCAGGCGCAACACACAGCGTGGCAGATTAAGGAGCAGTTCAAGAAGCTTCACCAGTTTCTAGATGAGGAAGAGGAGGCCAGGATGGCTGCACTGAGGGAGGAAGAGGAGCAGAAGAGTCAGATGATGAAGGAGAAGATGGAGGCTCTGAGCAGAGAGATAGCAGCTCTTTCAGACACAGTCAGAGCCACAGAGGACGAGCTGAGAGCTGAAGACGTCTCATTCCTGCTCAACTACAAGGCTGCAGTGGACAGAGTCCAGCAGTGCCCCCCACTAGATAATCCGCCGCTGCTCTCAGGAGCTCTGATAGACGAGGCCAAACACCTGGGCAACCTGACCTTCAACATCTGGAGCAAGATGAAGGACCTGGTCTCCTACACTCCTGTGATTCTGGACCCAAACACTACTCATCGGAAACTCATCCTGTCTGAGGAACTGACCAGTGTGCAACACGGACAGAGACAGCAGCTTCCTGATAATCCAGAAAGACTTGAGGATTATGTCACTGTCCTCAGCTCTGAGGGCTTTAACTCAGGGACTCACAGCTGGGATATTGAAGTTGGAGACAATACATCCTGGTCAGTGGGTGTATTAGCAGAGTCTTTCCGGAAGAAGACCCAGAAACAATATGGATCATGGGAAATGTGGTTCTACAGAGGTGAATACTCGGCACGGTCACTACCAGGTCCATTTACTCCTCTCCAAGTGCAGAGGAAGCTCCAGAGGATCAGAGTGAAACTGGACTGGAACAGAGGAGAGCTGTTGTTCTCTGATCCTGATACTAGCACACACATACACAACCTAAAACACACTTTCACTGAGAGGCTGTTCCCATACATTAGCACAGTGGACAAAGTCCCACTGAAGATATTACCACTGAAGGTCTGTGTGACAAAACAACAGGAAACAGATATAAGGAGGACATTAATGGAAGAAAAAAGTTAATAAGTACAGCAGAAAAAAATGAGTCAAAAATGAAAACTAGAAATAATTGTCTTGATGTGAGTAAAGGCCCAGGACGGATTTAAGATGCTAGTTAGCCAGTTAGCACATTAACAATACAATCTGATGCTCAAAGAACAAAGTATATTTATTGTGTGCTAGTGAACAACAGCGCAAACAATTGCGAACCCTACGGTTCGAAAGGCGACGTTTAGAGAGCAAGCCCAAATAAGCAACTCCACTTTAGAAACAAGCCCAAAAAACTGCAACCTACTACCAGTATTTGTAAACTTTAAACAAAAAAACAAGCCCAAAGTCGCGGCTAATAGGTGGACCTGGCAACCCTACGACTTGTCCTCCTCACATTTCTTCCGTCCTCTTGCGTGCTGGAAAAGCCGTTTCCTCAAACTGAGTTTTTCTAATACTCTGAGCACTTACTTACACCACACTTTGCAGTTTAATTCCTATCTATACGATTTTACAGAGCGGTTTGTTCATATATAATTTAGAACCTGATTCACGTAACACTTAAAAATGTGGCAAAAATAGTTTTTTTCTATGGCTGTTGACCGTATTTTCTGATTTATGGAGTGACTGTAAAAACCTTTGACTCTAATATGTTAACATTAGGGATGCTCGATAATAATGGTACCTCATCTGTATCGGCGAATATCGGCTTTAAAATGAACATGCACTGAAAAGCATTTTATTTCATGTCTCCATCAGCTGGTGGGCCGTCACCATAGAAGTATGCATGCATGCATAATACGATGTTAATTCCACTACAAGGAGACTTGACGTTCACTTAACTGGGGGAAAAAGTGGATACATCGTTATCAGTTTTGGTTATCCGTCAAATGAATTGTTATTTATTGGCATATCAGATATCTGCTAAGTATCCATTATCATGCATCCCTAGTCAACACAAATGAAACAAGAATTTCAAACCAGACTTCATCCAATGTTCAGATTTCTCTTCTAAAATTTATGCAAATAGGCTCATATTTAAAAGGATAACCACTTGCTTGTTTAAACCTAAATTTTCAGAGATATTGTTGTTTTGTTATTGTTGTTACCTGTCAGTTGATTTAAAGTATTCTAATTGTTTTATTGTTTTGTATGACTGAAATTAAATTTCAACAAGTCTGCATTCAACTTTTAAGACAGTTTCACGACTAACTTGAAATAAACTGCAGTGACTGCAGTACATGTTTCTTATGATCTGGACACACACTATGAGTGGATCTGTCATCTGCCATATGAGCATCATTAAAAATATAACAAATCAGGACAAAAGAAGAAACACAACCTGTTTCACACAGAGATCTCTAAAAATTATTTGCATTTTGTTTTATTATTCTAAATCTGCTTACATTTTTAAACTAACAAATATGAGATGTTGATGGGTTTTGGATGAGAGGAACACCAGGTCCGCTGTGTTTGAGTTTGGTAACTTAATCACTTGAAACACAGCAGCATTCACACTGTTGGTCAAATCTTTATTTTTCAATTTTGTGCATTTTCCAGACATGTACTACCTGCATACTTTGGCTGTAGAAACCATATGCTTTTATTCAGCTTTTTTCTAAAATGTATACTTTTTTAAATATTACGTTTTTTTCAACAACTTTCCTACATGAAAGTAAATGGGAGAAATCGTGTTTAATCTACTCCACTTTGAAGTTCTTCAGTTTCTTCATACTTTCAGCTGCAGAATTTATTTAACCTCGAAACAGGTTACAAGAATTTGAACTATTAAACATGTATACTAATCAGAATCAGAAATACTTTATTGATCACTGAGGGGAAATTATGATTAGTTACAGTTGCTCCGATGTAAAGAATATCGAATTATAATAAGTATGAATAAGTGTATGAAATAAATTGTCAATGTAGAGCAATAAATGAAATAAAGTGGAAATGAAATGTGCATACCATGTTTAACACTATACTTAAGATATAAAAATGTTTCAGACAACTTCAGAATTTTCAGCAATTCATTAGAATTTATTTCAGCAGTCAGCATTCACGTGCATTTTCAACAGGAAATGCATTTTCTAGTTAACAAACTGTGTATCTATATGAGTGTATTGTCTGGTAGACAAACATCATGCTTGTATCACATAAAGTGGCCCACTGAGGTCGAACTCTTATCAGTGAACTCCAGCACGTGTACATCCTGCTAACAGAGCCTGACTATTGGTAAAAGGATAAAAGGCTCGGCAATAACTGATAAATGTTTAAGTTTCACGGTGATTTACCTTCACAATTTCCTCAGAGCTGGTCCACAATAATCACACAGGTCAACTCGATTATGATTTTATCCAGCCTTCTGTTGTGTTTAGGCTACATTTTACATGTGACATGCACAGTAATAGGTTTTTAATCTGATAGAGCCAAGAGCAATAATGCACACATAAGCAGAACCAGATTCAAGGTTAAGATTGCTCACTGTCACCATCCTGTGGACAGAGATAGAACTACACTCCCTGCAAACACTCCACAAATATATACAGATAATATATATATATATATATATATATATATAAATTTTTAATGTGCCACCGGTGTATACATACAACCATGGAGACACCTACACCTGACAAGTCATTGACAGGGTGCATGATCTGATCCCATCGCACATACATTTCCCAAAGCCGTCTGCCTAACCCTTCTCTGGCTGCATAATTACAAACTTTAATTTATCAAAATTACAAAATGCATAATTCATCAGTAAATTTACTCAAGGCATACAGCACACACATCCTTGCACTTCTATCATTTTGAGGACCCTCACACAAAATGCATTCCCTAACCCCTTTTCCTAACCTGAACCACCACAACTAACTGCCTAACCCCACCCCGGACCTTAACTTTAACCAAATTCAAACCCGAACCTTAAAACCAAGTCTCAACCCTCAAACAGGCCTTTGAAGGAATGATGGTCTGAAATGTCCTTGTTCTGTTAGTAAAAATCGTATTTTGGTCCCCACTACGTAGCAAGTACACACACTCACACACACACACACTTATTGAGACTCTAGAACAGCTGAACAGTGGAGTAAAAACCAAACAGAACGTGTGGTATAATATTTTATTCTCATATTTTATGGAATACAAAGCCCCCAACCCCCCCGCCCCACCCCCCAAAAAAGTGTGCACATCTGATCTGGTGGAAACTATTCAAGGACAAGGAAAAGAACAGGCGAGAGACGAAAGGAAGTTTCTTTCTGGGTGTGTGTGTGAACGACTGCAATTTAATGTGATGTTCATATAAAAAGTATACCCTCTCATCATGAATGAACCCTTAAAAAAACAAAAATAAAGGAGCCAAACATGGCTCGAGTCAGTTAATAAAAGGGCTGCAGCCATGACAGCTGAACAAAACATGTTTCCTTTTCCTTTTTCCATCGATGTTTTGTGTTACGACGACACGGACGTAATTGATCATGTGCAACAATAATTTAGCTTAACATGACTGTAAATTCAGTCGCTTTTCTATTCTTTTACACAATCTCTTGCTAAGCTGCACAAAAGGAATGAAATATTTCCCCAATCTGATTTGGGAGAGAAACAAAATAACAATTATACAAAAGAAAAAAGACAGATAGCGGAAGGGGTAAGAAAACAGCCAGCTGGGCTACAGATTAATGCAACCCTCATATGTACTAGCAGCCAACCTAGGTCCAATAATGTAGGATTTTTTTTTTTTCAAAATGGTTTTGAAACATCTGGAGTGTGTTTGAGTCCCAGTGGATCTGCACTCCTGGAACCATAACGCAGATCCCCTTCAACTGGGACAATATAACTGAAGCACATTTATGTATTTTCAGGAAGGTCTGGCCGAAAGGTCTTTGCTAATCTCATGACGTGTAAAACCAACCAGCTCGAAGACACGCTGGGATGGCGAAACCACGGACAGGTATAGTGAATTAAAAAATAACATTAGTAACATCACTGCCATTGAATCCATACATTTCAATGCGAGTCCATTTCAGAAGATTGGAGAGCGAACGCCCAGAACTGTGTCGCACCAATTATTATGAGATGGTTTTTGTTTTAGTTTATTTTCCCAAGAATGAATTGTAATCTTTTCCTGACCACTACACATCAAAAACACACCAGAAAACAAGTTAACCCAATACGATACACACAATCCAAGGTTCACAGTCCGAAAATGTGCTGTTTGAAAAGAGCCTCAGGTCCTCTGTGTCCACTGGTTAAAGTGTCCGGCTCGGTGAACTCTGTCAGTTTCACCTTTCAATTCGTGTGGTGGACACTGGAAAAAGAAATGTTTTAAAAAAGGAAAGAAAAAAAGACATGATCAGGGTGATGGAGCTTCACCGTGTCAGCCGCCGTCTGGTTTGTTAACAGTTTTTCTCAGTTGCTCTGGTATGGAGAATAAACAGGCTGGAGCAGCTCGCTGTCCATGTCTATTCCTCTTTTTCAATCCATCTAATCCTTTCTCTTCTGGTCGGGTCCTCACACCATGTAGGAGTTCTGGTTCTTCAGCTTGTCCAGCTCTTTGCTCTGCTGCCTCAGAAATAGGATTCTGTGGTTGAGGAGAACATGAGTACGTGAACGTGTGATGTGAATGTCCTTATCAGCTAATGTCGATGCTAAATGTACCGTGTGCCTCACCTCTGTTCCCTCAGTGTGGCCTGGATTTCACACACTCTGACCAGGGAGCGCAGGTTTTTCATCTCTGTGCAGATCTCAGACATGTACAAGCTGCCCATGTTGTGGATGTCTTCATGCAATCGAGCCGCCTGACAGAGAGGGACAAGTGTTTAGTGTCAAGTCATGGCTACTGATTTTCACAAACACAACATTCATCAATACAATAAGGCTCAACATCAGCTTACTGGGGCGACCTCTAGCTGGTAGAGTGTGCGCCCCATATAGGCTGAGTCCTTTGCAGTGGCCCGGGTCCAATTCTGACCCACGGCCCTTTGCTGCGTGTTATCCTCCCTCTCTCTCTCACCTTTCGTGTCGCTCTACAGCTGTCCTTTTAATGAGGGCAAAAGCACCAAAAAATAGCATTAAAAAAAACGTCATCTTACTTAGATTTTGTGACTGACTTAAAGGAATTTTTTTTTTTAGGTTTAGGGCAAACATTCAAATTCTGGTTTTCCCAAGCTGTTCTAAAAATAATTTCACACATGACCTGATGTCGGTTTCTGCATGATGATGTTTCTAAACAATGGGGCTGAGTATCATTTAAAAAGTACGATACCAGTACTAATACCAGGACCCTGAAAGTATAACCAACAGAGTACCTCATTTGACACCCATAATGTGAATTTAGTGGCGCATAGTATAGCCATACTTTTCGACATTTTGGTGGCATTTCGGCACGCTGAACTGCAAACTCTGTTGAATACATCGCCCTTGACTTCCCCGCACCACAACTTTTATGGGTTGTAGCTGCTGCGGGAGTGTGAGCGCAGCACTGCTGACAATTGTGAGCGTCTGCCCAGCAGCAGGCGCACTGTGACAGGGCTAACTGTTAGCATCACACTGCTAGCGTTACCTAATGTCTATAAACGGGTTTAACGATAGTGTTGAGCTGTTCCAGTGTCAGTTTGTTGAGACATTAACCAGCTCAGTGTTGGATGTTAGCTGCTGCTGCTGTTAGCTCATGCTAAACTGGATGATGTTGAAGTAACAGTTCGCCTTGAGAAAAGCAGGTATCAAGTACCCATGCCCAGCACTACTATGGATAAAATCCCTTGCCTGTGTAATGTGCCTCTTTGTGACTGAGCCAGACCTTTGAGAATTTATTTAATATTTATTTGTATAGCAACAAGTCTGTACCATAAATACAGCATATATAGCCTAAGCTAATTTGCAGTGCCCGTCCCTAGATGGGTCTTTAAAATACTTAAAACTCAATTAAAATGCGCAAGAGACAGTACAAAACACAAACTCAACAATAAATACATAAATTAAAAAACACAAAACTCAAGTGTGCATTATTGATCTTTCCCATTACCCCTAACTGGTGCAGAGGCTAAGCAGCGTACTGCTTTGGACACCTGAATGTTACACAATAACACAAACAAACCAACCGATCAAGGCAGAGGTAGACCAGCAACACCTGCGTTCTGTAAGGTAAAATTTCAGTTTTTGTTTTGTATTTTGTTATGTGGCTTTGAAGAGAGCAATACAACGACTTCAGTTACCTGCCTGCTTCTCTAAATTGGGAGTGTGTTAACCACCATCAACAGTAGGTAATACACTGACTATGATAAGTACCTCATAAAATCCATTTTCCCTCCCTTTTTGCTAACGGCTGAGTTTCCATTTGAAAACCCCAAAAAAGAATGCAGATGGAGTCAAACTTAAACAAAATATGAGCTAACAGGTTTTTCTACTTGACCATAGGAACAAATTTCACTGAAAAATGATAGTCACAAGGACCACTTGCTTGGCCTTTCCAAAGCTTTCAACCACAAACTGTTGGCCTTCCTCTGCAAACAGAGCTGCTCAGTTGTCAGTGGAGATGATTAAGCTATGATGGATTATTGCAACAGCTGAGAAAAGTCACAAGATGAGTCTAAAGGCTTTGGAAACACCAAGTGGATCTTGTGATGACATTTCCTAAAAAGTCTGCATTTGTTCCAGAAGCCTTATGAAGCTGTGCTGCTTCTGTGACTCCGTAATGATGCTACAGCTCTAAAAAACACAGAGCTAACTAAGCACTTCATCGCTCTGTAAGATAAAAATCTGTGTGGTGGACATCACCTGTTTCTCAGTGTTCTCTGAAGGCCATCCTTGGATATGTCTGATGAGGCTCTCATCAAAATGAGTCACCAGGGTGGGCGTGAAGGAGCCGGGGGTGTCGGCCTGGGTTTGGCTTGTGCTGCCGGAAGGGATGTGGGGCAACGCAGCACCGGATATGTTTGATCCCGTGCACAGAATCTCCTGGCTGGTGGAGCGAGACAACTGATTACCGGAGCTCAGACGGTGTTATAAATAAAATCCAGCTGTTGGAATACTGATGTTTGGGCATATCGGTTACAGATGCTGCAAATTATTCAGTCTGTGACGTTTTCTTGTACCCATTCTGTATCATCTCGAAATAACCCAAACATTGCTCATCATATTTTGATTAAATCTGGGTGACCTCACCAGTGAATAAGGCACTTAACTGCCATGATAAGTCCAAGTGAGGCCCTATATGTCCAAGTATGTCAAAAACACAACATACTGCTGAATTCTCTCCTTACTGTTCACGTCTTTCCAGATAACATCACTCTAAATAACAGACATTCAAACAGCATTTTTTGGAGCTACTTTCTACCAATCAAATGATTCCTATGAAAAATGTTTAGGACACGTTTCCATTGAATGTTTGTAAAAAGTTTTTTTGTAATTAGTGTCCTTTTAGTTCTGTGTTCTGGTTTTTATTTTTCCTGTTTTACCTCCATGCCTCACAAACAAAATGGTGTCTAAAAGTGACCTCTACCTTCTCTGCTGGAGAGTTCTGGGGTCCTCGGGACGCTTCTCTGCCGTCTGAGACAGGGTGACCGATCCCGGTTTACCTGAAGACATGCTGCCCTGAAGAGGGAAGAACAGACAACAGGACAGAAAGAAATTACAACAAAAAGAGAGGTGCGGTGGAGAAGCAGGAAGAAATGATGTAACGGACAAGGGCAGTCACAACAAAGTAGAGAAGAGAACTGGACTGTTCTGTTACTTAAAGTCCTGCGACTCACCCTTGTCTGTGACGAGGTTATGCTGCCAGGGTGCACACCCAGGAGGGATTTCTGGTTGCTCTGGGGTGTGCCGTTCCGCGGTGAGACATACGGCCGCGGTGACGATGCATCGGACGTCAGGGAGATGGGGGACTGACTGGAGTGCTGGGCTGAAGGAGGAAAAGACATTTATTACCCTGTTTTCCTTTTGATTCAGTCATCCTACACAGATATAGAAAGTTAGCCCTTTGCAGTGAAAACCCAGAGCCTGCAGTAATTTCATTGTTTGGAGTGAAGAACAGCACGTATGAATAATCTGTTAAGCAACAAGGCAGCAAACAGTTAGACAACAAGCAAATTAAAACGCCATTCATGGAACAGGGCTTTCAGTTCAGACACAAGAAAACTTGTGTCAACTTTCTCAGGCACACTTGTTGTGATTGCTTTGAAACACATCCCCTGTTTCAGCAGAGGAGGCTCATTGGAATACATGAGAGGACATCCTTTGTTTTTCCAAATAGCAATCTGAAAAGCTCTTAAAGCTGGGGTAGGCACTTTTACTTTGGCATCACTGGGCTAAAGGAAACAATAACCTTTTGGCATTTTGTAACCCAAGTGGTCTGAGAAAAAAAAACTGATTTCTGCACCTCCTCTTGGCTCCGTTTTCATGCTTTATAAAATGTAGCTTATGACGCAAGAGAGAGGGCGTTCCTTTTGGCTGTTCTACAAATGCTGATGCATGTTCATGTCCCTTCTGTGAAAGCCGGATTCAATAGTGGACAAAGTTGCTTCTCAAGTATTTGCAACAACTGTCTGCACTGCAAAGCAACCCAAAAAAGAAGACAGAATGATAAAGAAAGAGAGTCTGACCCTTAAAAAAATAAAACAAGTGTCAATATCAGCAAAGCATTTTAGAGAAACGAAATATTTGCCAATAGCTTTGCCTTGTGCTAACCAGAGCAAAAGGCTCGAGGCTGCAGTTTCAACTTTATTTATGTAGCTAACATTAGCTAGAGCCTTGAATCACAGTTTTTCCTTGCATCTCAGACAGAAACTCAGCAGCTCCGGGAACATTAATCTAGTCACTGACTCTGCACTGGATCAGCAAACTTTCTTTTGCTGCTGTTACACAGGTGAGACCAAGTGTGGCTGCTGGCCACCAGCCTTAATTCAAGCTGCTACAACTGCTGGCTGGAGGTCCATCCCTGGAAATACTGCCTGCCCCCTCCACAGCAAAGCAGTCCACAGCAGCGGGGGACAATGCAGAGGGACCACCGAACTTGACAGCTAGCTAATTCTTGTCTTATTTGTGAACTGACAAACAGAAAAAGAGCTCTACAATGAAATCAAATCAAATCAATGAAAACTGCCCCTCCAGACTGAAGCGACAAACACTTAACTAGTATAAAATGAAGATGATCACTGACTAAAGGTCAACATAAAGTTGTGTCTTATACTGCATTTATAAAAACTGATTTGTGGGGACAGAGAGGACAGTATCCTTAAAAAAAAAAGAAAAGGGAAATTAGTTTGTGTAGCAGATGGTGAGAAACAGCGAGGAGGCCGTACCTTGGTTGGAGTGCTGAGCAGCTGAGAGCAGAGCAGTGACGTTGAAAGCAGGTCCAGCAGTGAGGAGCTTATGAAGCACAGACCGCAAGGAAGCTTGGGTGACAGCAGCTGCCAAGACTGGAGGGAGGAAAGAGGAAATGTACACACACACACACACACACATACACACAGGTGAGTGAGCAAGGACACACAACAGGTGAGTGCACAAACACGCATGGTTAAGTCAGAAAACACAGTTGAGAGAAGAAACAAATCGGTGAAAGGATTAATCCGGTTCATGTATCATTTCACCAGCAAACAACTATTGAACAGCAAGTACACGTTTGTCACATTCACACAGAACAGCAAGAAATTCATCATAAATGACACGTGGACACAGATTAGTAACAGCAGTCACTCAGTAATAACAGGATCAAAACACACAAATAAGGGATGGAAGGATATTGACATATTTTGCCACTCACGCAGCAATGTTGCCCCCAGACTACTTTATTGATCCAAATATAAGACGAGCTATGTTTTTCCCCCCCATCACTGGCTTTTGGAAAAAAGAATTTCTGAAAATACGATACTCTTATACACTAGTCGTGTCAAGTTTCTCTGAAATAACTCTTAATCCATCAGAGCCCTCATCCACGAAGCATTTTCTCTCAGAAAATCAGTCACACACTCCGTCTCCTGTCAGACTTTTATAAGCCATCAAAAATTATTTTCTCCAGCAGTTAGCATTTATCTTTTTGGGCTCCTCATCATCTGTGACAGCGGTAATTCTTGGCTGCTTGACAGATGATTCAATCTACAGTCCGTTTCTGCCCAAAAGACATCAGAATATACTCTGCACTTATTTTTTTTAGCTCGTCACCAATTTATTTCCTTCGTGGCAGCAAAACACATTACACAAGCCTTTGAGACTCCTAAATGCTAAAACTCACTATAAAAATGACCTGAAAATGCCCATTAGCTTAGCAACATTAACGCTACAACACTCTCTTAAGGAACCAGTGTTATACTGCTACTCATTCCATTTTACAAGAACTGTCTCATCCTTGAAAATAATATGAACCACACTTTCTCAAATAGACTTTTATAACGTCTTCTATTGGGCCAATACAGCTCTTAAGGCAGTGGTTCCCAACTGGTGGGTCCCAGTCCAAAAGTGCATCCCGAGCCCATTCTGAATCAACCACAAGTGGCTCGCAAGCATGTTAAGTTTGAAAAAAACCTACTTTATTTTGAAGTATAGTGAATTTGAATCGATGCCGTAGCCTGACATGGACCCCCCCAGAAATATAACTCCATGTCACGGCGACACAGACCTCCTGTCTATATCTGTAAGCTGAAACCATTTCCCTCAGTGGAAACAAAGCTTTTATTTGCTTTAATTTCACATATAAGACACAATAAATTGTGAAGACAATAAAGCCTCCACAAAAACAGAATTTTAAGTCTTGTGTGTGATTTATCCTGACTTCATATGAGCAGAGGAAATCTCAGCTCTTCGCTAGGCTAATTTATACAATGTAAAATGCCATAGGCTTGTGCTAATAATGTTAGCATGTTATATCAGAATCAGCTTTATTTGCCTAGTACAGGGGTAGGCAACCTGTGGCTCCGGAGCCACTTGTGGCTCTTTAGCCCCTGTCCAGTGGCTCCTTGAGCCTTTGAGAAAAGAAGTCTATGGAAATTCCTTCTATGAATCCAAATGTTGCTGAACCTCGACAGCAGTGGCTGGTTAGCTATGGATGCCAAATCCAAAAAAGTAAATTGAATAAAATAGAGAATGTAGTAGTGCGTGGACAGATTTGTTTGCTCTCACTGCCAGCTCTGCAAAATTTAAGTACCAAATAATCATAAATAGTGCCCTGCACAGTGTCCACCTTGTGGTAAAACATATTAACAAATGCTTATTTAGACCATAAGTATATGCTAATTTAGACTTAACAGGCTATTTACCTTGATTATAAGGCTCAAACATGTTTTGCGGCTCCACACAGATTTTTTCAAATTATTCTTGGTCAAAAATGGCTCTTTTAATGGCAAAGGTTGCAGACCCCTGGCCTAGTACATGTGTACATACAAGGAATTTGACTCTTGTAGACTTGCTCTCATTGTACCAGAATTGACATAAGTACTCAAATTTAGGCAAGAATATTTGTTTGGAAAACGTGTTTAGTATAAGACAGTTGCTTTGTCAGTGACTCTTGTGAGTTGTAATGGAGCCAAATTGTGTAACATTACCTTTGTTAAATGTTGCTGTTGTCCCTGGCTTCATATGAGAAGAGGAAAAGTCTGCTAGCTGCTAGGCTAATTTATACAATGTAAAATGCCAAAGGCCTGTGCTAATAACATTAGCATGTTGTATTTGTGGGGAAAATGTGTCCAGATAAAGACAAGTGCTTTGTCTGTGAATGCTGAGAGTTATAGTGTGTTTTGGGTGTGTTTTGAATCAACTCAACTTTACAGCACTTCACAGAACCCTCCACCGCTGACTAGTGTTTTGGAGGTGTAAATGCAGAGTGACACAGACACACCACCGCACAAGTATAAATGCTCACAATGGCGTAGGGTTTGCATAGAGCTGAATCACAAGTTTAAATCTGCCTTTACAGTGTCAGAAGCTGGGAAACCCTGGCAGCCTGCACCTCATGACCCAACTGTGGGACACAGAAACTTTTTAAAGGCTGTTGGTGTTGCATTAGTTAGAATAAAGACAGGATATCTAACTAGCGTCGAGCACTGAGACTGTCGAGCTAACACTCTGTTTCTAAATTAAGGTTAACGTGAGTCAAAACAGAGACAAAAACTACTGATTATACTGATGCTGATTTTGTAAACATTAAAGATTTACAAAGAGTGGGATTCCTGTGGCCAAGTTGCTGTTAAACTGTAAAGCAGGTCAGTCAGTGACTTAGTTTTGTTAATACTGGTGATGCTAACAGGATGAAGACTGTGTTTAAGAATCTTCTGCAGTATGTTAGACAATTTTTAATAGTTACAGCACCACAACCTTCTCTCTTTATTTGGGAAACTTATTTGGGCCAAAAACATCTGTTTAAATTGAGACACTGCACATGCAACAGCAATAAACAAGTCAATTGCCAGTTGTCTACCTGGTTGTGATTGTTGTTGTTAGCGTGACGTTAGGGTGATTCGGCCTGTACAGGATACGCTATGGAAGACAGTTGTATGAAAGTCACATGTTGTGTTTCTTTGATCATTTGTGTCCTCACCTTCGTTGAGTTTAGCCATGTCCATGCTGCCGTTGTTCATCTGCAGAGTGGCCTGCAGCGCTGGGAGGAGCTGATGCAGGAGGGCTGGGTCCTGCAGCAGTGCTGGTGACGGAGACTGGACAGACTGAGGCACCACCTGCCCTGAAGAGGATGAAGAGGAGGAGGACATGGTGCAGGGGGTGGAGCCTAAAGCACCGGGAGCAGAGTTCAGGCTCTGAGAAGAAGAGGAAGAGGAGGAATGGCCGGAGTTGGATGCTGTGGACTGGTCCCCTGATGTGGTCTCTGGGGAGACAAGCAGAGCAGGACAACAAAGCGTTTAATGAGCACATTATTGTAAATGAAAATTTATGCACCAGAGAGTGATCAACTAAAGCGAGCCACAATGTTAGAAAGCACGACTGTGTATCAACTTGAGCCACATGATTAGGTTTTAGGATTTTGCTGCACTTACTTGTTGAGGCTTTGTCCTGCAAGGCCTCTTGTCTGTAGTCCATGTCTCTAGGGAAACTGTTCGCCGCCATCTTGACTGAGTCTTTCTGTCGTTGTTCCCTGAAGCAAAATAAGCAGAGAGCAATGATGCCGAATGTAAGATGCAGGCTGCAGTTAGACTCTGTACCCTGAGCTAATGATATTCTGTTAATACTGGTGCACTGTGTGATCTTGTAACGTATGACTCTGCATGAGAATGAGAATCTCGATTACTGTTTCAGGTTAAAAATTGAATTTGGTCTCAGTGTGCGTATACTGTAATACTGTTTTAGGTGGGCTTGCCTCTCCAACAGGTCCTTGGGCTTCTCCCATTGGGAGACCTCAGTTCTACAGTTGTAGTAGTACTTCTTCCCAGAGGAGCTGATGTGTTCTGTCCAGTCATCTGCTGGGTCCTGGTGCTGAGACACACAAGACAGGAGATGTTATAGAGACCAAGGGAAATTAAGACAAGTTAAAGAAGACTACTGAAACAGATGTAAGCTGACAGTAGACTTTGGATGGAGTAAATATGTAATGCAGTTGTGAAGTCTTAAAGGGACAGCTCACCCACAAATCAAAAAGTCATATTTTTCTCTTGCCTGTAGTGCTATTTATCAGTCTAGACTGTTGGCCGTAAACATGTCTTCCTTTTCTCCAATAGACCTTTTTCACAGCAGACGTTTTGACATGTCACAGTAGGAAAGGCACGGGTGTATTAATAAGAGCTGCATTCCACTTAGGGGAGGTCCTGGTACTGGAGTTGGACACTTAATGGAAGTGAGCCACCTGTGCTTTTCCAGCTATGACAAGTCAAAATGTCTGCTGTGAAAAAGGTCTATATAATTGAACTAGCTAGCTTTTGACTTGTAGGGCTCAAAGCGCAAAAATACCTTTTCTATAAACTCGACAGCAATGTCTCTTTTCAGAAAACATGACCCAGTTACTCAAGATACCTTGTTGTGAGCGTTTTCATGTATGAACTATTTTCTTTCTACTAAACTACACCCACCAACTGCAGCACTGCGCAGTAAGGAGCGTTCATCTCCTGCTAGCTCACCTAGCAGCACTGAGCTAGCTAACGTTACAGCTCAGCAGTTGAGGACGCCATTATGTTTATATCTCATGCTGTCATGAGCACAATCCTCTCATTCATGAGTAGATGCACGCTTCCTTCTACGAGGAGACAGCCTGCAGGTGTAGTTCGGTAGACAGAAAATAGTTCCTACATGAAACTGCTCACAACAAGGTCTGTGGATTATCTTGAGTAACCAGGTCATGATTTCTGGAAAGAGACATTGATGTTGAGTTTTTCAAATGTACTTTTTTGGCTCTTTGAGCACCACAAGCTGAGTGCCATCTAGTTCCATTATATTGGAGAGAAGGTAGACATCTCTACGGCTGATATCTCCAACACTCTGCAACTCACACCAAAATAATTAAGATTGATAAATAACACTACAGGTTTGGGGGTGAACTGTTCCTTTAAATTTTCATACTACACGGAAGCAAAAGATGTTTGCAACAACACGTTTATAAACCCAAAACACTACAGTACAGTTTGGAAAGTAGTTAGAGGGAAAGACGATTTAAGTATACTCAAGTCCATGTTCCATCCGTTTTCCTTTGGTATATAAGCATCCCTTTCTTCCGCCCTCAGGAATGGATAATGGATTTTCAGTCTGGAAAGGAGCTGCTGGTTTGTTTAATATTCATGATCACGTATATACCGACAGTTCCCGTCATTACAACAATTCCAGGAAGACAATGCACTTTGCCTCATCCTGTTTCTTTTCCTATTAACAAATGTACAGACTTCAAAACTGACTGATTTTGCAGAGGATGCTGGAGCCACAATAACACAACATTACATAATGTTTAATGCTTTCTCATGAGAAAAATGGTTAGATGGCTTTAATTAAGATAGATATGAACAGTAACTGTAGATTATAGCAGGGTCTTGGTATTACTACAAACAAAAACAGATGTGATTGGACATTTCCCACTGCCACAAAAAAGGGTTTTAATTGCAGTTTGAAGGTATACTATGCAGGATTTTCCTAAAAAAAACAACATGAAGCCTCGTGCAAAAGTAATCTCTCTCAATCATCATTTGGACCCACTAGGGGTGTGTGGTGGTGTGTTTATCTGCAGAGACTCTTCCGCCTGTGTGTTCGGGATGTTCCTGGGTACAACGTTCAGGTGAGGTCAGGGATTTGTAATATGGCAGTGACCAGGTGCCACTGTAAGTAACACACATCCAAGAGACACAGCACTGAAAAAAATGCAAATACAGTGGGGGGAAAATGCAGAGTGGACATAGCTTGTTCCATAATTTGAGTGAATCTGGGGTTGGCTTTCACTTTCACCGGCAATACTGCTTACAAACGTTAACCGACAATGCCTGCATAATAAGCCTGTAAGATTTGTGTGTGTAAGAGCTGCAACAATTAGTTGATTAATCGATTAGTCAATTGACAAGAAATCAACTGGTATCTATTTTGACATTCAAACAATCATTTCAGTATTTTTCTTTTAAGCAAAGAAGCCAAATGTTTGCTGGTTTCATGCTTCTTAAATGTGAGAATGTGATGATTCGCGAAGAGACAAAACTATTTTTGAACGTTGCAGAGAAAAGTTGCAGCGATGTGAACTGGCCAGTCTGAGCTCAACTCGCACCGGCTGATGGCGTCACCTGTACCTTCGCCAGTCAAATCACTGATGGCTGGTTTTAGAATGTAAAGCATGTCATGCGTTTCTACAGCCAATCAGCTTGTAGTGAAGTCCGCTGGTCAAGTCAAAATCACCACAGACTGCATGTTTGCTTGCTGCGGCAGCTGCTTTGTCCTGGCTAAGCCCTCTGTTTCCATCCTCACGGTGTGCAGGTGTCGGACAGTGGGTTGCTGCTGCTGCTGCTCGCTGTGTGTGCTTATGCCCCCCCAACACACATTCTCATTGCCAGATTCATTGGCGCTGTTTTTTTATATTATTGAGGCACATTTATTATGAATACAGCCCATCTGGTGCTCATTTTGCTTATATTTCTTGCTGTTTCATCACTACTACAAATGCAGCTGTAGCCAGTATCTCACTATCACTATCCTCATTCATATTTTAAGAAGCTACAAATTATACTTAGCCACAAAATAAACCTGAAAAGCTGTAAATCAGAACAGAAGTACTGAGAGTTGTTGCATAGAGATGATACACCATCTTATCTAGTTGCATTGGTGTGAACCGGCACATTTTTTAGAACATTTAGAACAAGGCATCGCAAAGAGTTGCCTGTTTCAACTCATCTCATCACAGATCTTTGGTCTGAACTAGGGATGCACCGAAATGAAAATTTGTGGCCGAAGCTGAAGCTGAATAATATTAAACGCTTGGCCGAATACTGAGTACCAAATACCGAATATTGTTGTTAAGTTTTTCATTAGTTTTTGCAGATGAACCCCCTCCAGATTAGTGTTGTCAGGGTACCAATATTGGGACCCACTGTACGATACCAGTGAAAATATCATGGTTCTGAGTAGTATCACGATACCACAACGAAAATGAGGCAGATGTGCCTTTTGTCATTTATAAAAAGATAAATCACTTTTCTATAATACATCAATGATATTTCAATGGAATAAATTACTTATTGACTTAAAAAAAAACCAGCATCAATAAGTGATTAACATAGGGAGGATCAAAATAAAATAAATAAATAAAATAAGAATCAACCAGCCACCCTCCTCCCCTGACAGTTCCTTCATAAGTAAAGAACAGTCCCTAAAGTGCGGTGAGGTTTGTGGACCGTGAACGGCTCGTTTCTCCTCTGACACATCACATACCTGTGTTCAGCTGGCTCGGCTGTTAAAGTACTTTTGGGCAGTCATGACGCCAAGAAGAGGATATTATTGGAGCCGACTCCTCCGTCGCCGGTAAGCCGATGGTCGCCGTATTTGACAGGAATATATTACTGTCTGTGTCTGTGACCCCCGTTCAACCCACAACCGATGGGATTTGCCTTTCTTTTCTGCTGGTGGTTGAAATCTGTAGGCTGCTCGCACAGCGTGGTGATTTAAGCATATTTTGCTCGCTCAAAACTATTTTAGTCGCAAATGCAAGTGTGGTGATGGGTAGATCGCCACACTGCCGACATTTTACTCCGCCGGTCACGGCACGCTGTTTGATTGCGTTATCAAAACACGCCGCTATTATTCGGCCTTGCTTTTAACTTATTCCACCGAATACCAAATGTGTATTTCTTTGCAATTGTCGGCTGAATATATTCGGTTACCGAATATTCAGTGCATCCCTAGCCTGAACTGGGCTATAGCTTTTTGGACTGTTGGTCATATTAAACATACCATATCATTTGGAAAAAGTCAGCTTGGCCGGTGGGAAACTTTAGGGGTATACTGTGGTTAGGATTGCAGATTGAATTAATTGGTGGATTAATCAATAATGAAAACAATCTTTAGTTGCAGCCCTAGTATGTACAGATTTGAATCCTCTTCAATTTATCCTACATCGTCAACACTGCTGTCACTTAGTGCTCACGTCTGTTACAGTTCATTAATGTTATGTGTGACCTGATACTCCGATTCTTGAAGATGACAGAGAGGTGATGAGTCAATAAACACAAACAGAGCAGTATCTGACGACTGCATGTCCACAAATGGTGGACAATTCTTTTTGCAGCCACTCATGGCGAACAAAACTGTTCTGTGGTTGTGAACCTCAAAGTAGAGCAGAGGAGGGAAGGTTGGCATAATTATCAGTAGGCCTACATTAGCAAAACATAATCTTAAATAACTTAATCTTGCTAAACCTGAACTATAAAGCACCTGTGTCTCTTAGTCTCTTCCTGTGCCCCTCTGTGGATTTATTTTCCTCTCATCTCTCTCATGATGGAGGCAACAACAGGTGAACAAATGAGGAAAAACCTGCCCCCTGGCATTACACATTAGTCACTTGCTAGTAGAAGCCATGCCGTGTATACACATGATAAACCAGTGTCAAAACAGACAATGTTAAATATTGAGTATCTGGCCTTATTGTTTCAGTACATCAACAATTAGATAATTTAATACTTTAACAAGAAAGTCTAAATTCCAAATCAGATCATCTGTATAGAGACAGTCTGTTACACAAATGTAAAGTTTCAATCATGCGTTGTTGGGACAAAAACGTCTGTGCAGAGAGACAGAGAGATGCCGCAACATAATGTCCCACATGCCGTGCTCCAAAGTAGCGTGACAGCAATTTCTACAGGAAATGCTGAGGGTATATCAACAGATAACACTGGACAACGTCTTACCCTGTCTGCAGGCTTGCTCTGAGTCGCATGCGAGTCGGAGCCATGGTGGGAGCTGTTGTTGTGGGTGTTCTCCTGAGGAGAGCCGCTGGTCCCTGTAACAAAGCCATTTATCAAGTACCAGAAAATACACAGTGTTCCGCAGAGAACTGAATCTTAGTGACAGCTGCAACTGCCACGTAAGAAATACTACCCTTTAAGATAAAGCTTGCATGCATGTGTAAGACCACCACATAAAGGCTTACCATTTTTTCCTCTAACTGCATGAGAGGGTTTTGCCTTGCCATGTCCTCCAGTATCGCCGTGTCTGCTGACAGGACTTTCGTCTGAGCGTCGCAGCATCTTGTAAGGGGGTGTGGGGTCTGATGAGCCATCGCGCACCTTGTCATAGCGGTGGAGGCTGCTGGACTGGCTCTTTGGCTGAGATTTATGGGTCTGGATTGGATAAAGCATGACAGAGAGACTAGTTGGGATGGGTAGATTTGCCACCTTTTTCTAACATTGTTCAAATGAGTATCATATGTGTGTGCCTGTAATATATATTAAAATATGAGTGTAAAACCAAGGTTCTCTGCCTTTCTTAAATGTAGCCAACAGGAAGCCATGTAATGGTTGGTGACATCAGTTTGTGGCAATACTGATTTGATGATTTGTCCTACCTTGACGAGTCTGATGCTACATCAAAAAAACACATGAAACTTTGTTATATTTCTACCTAGACCCTATTTTCCCATATATTTGTGTTTAAGTGACTAATGGAGACAATTTTTTAATGGGTCCAGTACTGAGACAAATCGCTGCAGCCACTGCGGAGAAACACACCGCAATGAAATCCCTGAGGGCAACTGTGCATTGTCAGTTTAATCCACTGAAGTGTTTGCTTTTGCCACAGACAGGCTCAGATTGTTATTAGAAGTGTATGACAACATTACGGAAAGGATCCCTACAGAGCAAAGAAATGTTTCTCTTTCGCCTGATCCAGTCTGTTTGTTACTGTGTCTAACAAAGTCTTGCTCAAGGAGAAGTCTCAGTCTGAAATCTCATGAGAGGTGACTTGTTGCAGGAAAAACACCAGGTGCAACATTAGCGAGAGTTGGAGAGAAGAGTGTCGGGAAGAGTGTGTTGTGTTGGAGTACAGGAAACTTAACGTTGTTTGAAGATTTTCAGTGTCATGGCTGAATATTTAGATGATTTAGACAATGTGGAAAAGTCTGCATTATTTCAGAACAAGACCAGATGCAGTAACAAACAAACCAGATCAGGGAAAGGTAAAATGAAAACTTTTTATTTCTCTGTAGAGTCTTTTTCATAACGTTGTCAGACTTTTGTAATAACAATCTGAGCATGTCAGGGGCAAAAACAAACAGTTTTAATGAACATAAACTGACCGTGCATGATTGCCCGTAGGGATTACACTGCAGCCTGTTTCACTGCTGCTGAAGCATCGTCCCTACTACCCACTTCAGACACAAAAACATGGAAAAACAGTGTCCAGGTTGAATAATACCAAAGTTTCCCTTCAAAGGTCCAGTGTGTAGGATTTAGGGGAATATATTGACAGGGAATGGAATATGATATAATATGTTTTCTTCACGCCAGTGTCAGCTTTTATACCACGCCACTTGAGAAATGTTGATTTTTAAAGCCTATATTGGCCGAGACTGTTAACATGCCAATATTATCGTGCATCCCTAGTTTGTTTTGAAGAGGAAGAGACCCTGATGGATAATTTAGCTCGCTGTAAAAACCTTCTGAACATCTGGATTAGAAGTAAGATTAGCCTACATTTGCTGGTTCAGGGGAAGTGGGCCGTCTGCTACATGCCAAACAGTGTCAGAGAAACACTGAATTGTGACATGAAGCTGCTTTATTCAGTAATTTTAGCAGTTTCAATCACCTAGTTAGTTTGTTTTGGAAAGTAGGAGATGTCTGTGGATAACTCAGCTCCTGGAAAAAAAAAACCCTGAACAATGAACACTGAAGGAATCCTAACTATTAGTTCCAGCTAGCTGCAATCTGCAGTCCTAACTGTTCAACGCCACTACAGTATATTACCCTAAATATTATACACTGGACCTTTCAGAGCAGTCTTTGCCATGGTTCACAAGAACATTGCACATACTGTTACAGCTGTACTTCCTGTGAAAGGTGATGTGATAGCCACATAGATTAACATAAATGAACACTTCAGGGCTTAATTTTGTTAGGCTGTGTTATCAAATGACAATTTAATTGGGGGTTTCAATGTGGCTGGGTAAGTGAGACTTGACTCACGCCAGACTTGAAAATGTTAATGTTAAGATTGAGTAGGGTTGCCTCATTTCTATAATATGTATATGAATATTTCTGTGTATCATTTTATTAGCTAAAACTACACCGTGATTAGCTGCGTTAGTGTAACGTACTGACATATGACTCTCATACCTGATAGGATTGCGAATCCCTTCTGTCGTTGCACCTGTGGAAACACACAGAACAGACAGTTTAGTTAGACCGTTAGCATTTTAACGGTTATGGTGATTTTCTTAGCTTAGCAACACACTTACTGGAACATATTTAACGTTAGCTAGCGTTAATTAGCTGCCGTTAGCTAAGTTAGCTTGGTTTGCCACCTTAGCAACAGCTGTTAGCTTACTGTGTCACCTGTAGAAAATAACCCACCGTGTTTAAGACATTAAATGTGGCCTATAAACGCACGGTTTGAATTACCGTGATAATCAGCTAACGTTACGTTAGTCGATAAGCTAAGGGAAACATCCGGAACCCAAAGCTAACTGAAGGTTAGCTTGTAGCACTGATAGCTAACGGCTGCAAGCAAACATTATTAACCGAACGAGAAATTTAAAAAACAGGCAAACCCTATGATTAACTTTTAAAATGTCATGGCTTGTGCTTGATTTACCCATCGCTGACTCTTGTTGGTTTCCTTGCATACATCACCATCAAGGCCGTGGTGATGTGTGTGTGTGTGTGAGGGGGAACCGTGGCCTCCTGTCTGTCTGCTCTCACAGTTCTCTTTTCTTCAGCTTCCTGATATCTGCTCTCGGTGTGTCCTGACAAACAGATCGCTACAGGCCCTGCACCGAGCACCAGCACTGCATAGCGGGTGGTCTTTATCGCAAACCACCCTCAGTGCATCATCTGGCATGTAGTTACGGTGGAAGCTTGGCTCGGCCGATGTAGCTCAGTGAAAAGCAGCAGAGTCAGGAGGACGCGGAGAAGACGGACTGCTCGGTAATGTTTAGCTAGAAAAAAGGAGTTCCGGTTTTAGCTTTCAAATTAAAAGAACTGTCGAATATGTCACAATTTTACTTTTTCATACAGCTTATCTGCTTTTTAGTTTACAACCCATTACAAAAAAAACATTTCGGTCGGTGTCAAAGGGAAAATAAATAGATAAAAATATGAAAGATATAAAAAGCCAATACATTAACAGTTTAATAACTATACAGGAAAAAAGGGGGAACAAAAGTGGGCTAACTAGTAGTAGAAGATAACAAGTTCTAATAGCTTATACACTGTACACATTTTTATACATTAAATAGAATGACAGTATAGTTACAGTCTCTCATCTTCTATGAGCCACATTTCTATGAGCCACATCTTCCATATTCCTCTCTTTGTGAGTCACTTTCTCCGTGAACTTTACTTCTTGAATCATACTTTTCCATTTTATTAAATCTGAGGGGTTACACATTATAAATGTCCCAAAATTGGCTTTCACCTTTTCATGTTCTCTTACCCTAATACTCTCCAAATACACTCGACTCTCCATTTTCCTTGTGTTTCCATTTTTTGAATGTCAAAAAAACCCACAAAAAAGGAACAACAACAAAAAGGCAAGCTATAAGTTGCCTACATCACCTACAAAAAGTCTTATAGCTTCCGTGGTCGCCTATAGGAAGATCTGTCACTGTCTGTAAAGTCCCTTGGAGGGTATATGCAGTTATACAGGGTGTACCCAACTCATTTTCTGGCTGTTTACAGCACCCACCTTTTAGCCTACAGGCCATTGTAATATATAGTTCAGTATACCCACCCCCTCCTTGGTAACCTGCCTGTCTACCCAGTATTACACCTACCTCATCAACTACCAATACACCTATGGGCCAGAGTATTGCAAAGAGGAGCTGTCATGGTTTGAAAATATAGTATATTTATCATATATAAAGAAAATTCTCTCTTCTCTTGTTCTGCCAGGACATATTATGTTAATTGGGCAAGTGATGTGGGAAAAAAAAGGACATACTCTAGCGTTATATGCTGAAGTTAGGGCATAAGAGGCAACTAGACTTGCCATTAATT